CTGTTGGATAGGGGACTCACCCTTAATGTTTCATTTAACCTTAATTACCTCTTTGTGATAGTTAACTATTGTGTCAATTTGGATAAGAAATACCCAATGCATGGCTTAGCACCGGTCTAGGTGTGACCGAAGGGACTTACTAAAGCTGAGAGACCCATCCTGGCTGTGGGTGACCCCAAGCAACAGGCTTGTAGCCTGGGTGGAATCAAAAGGGGAAGAGAAAGGAAGGCTCACCTGTGTTTCCTTGGAGGGTCTCCAGTCTACACCTTTGCCCTGGAGGTCTAACCCCTGGCTTGCAGCTTAAACCCTTTCATTCCCACCTCAGATTCCTTAGCTTCCTGCTACAGACTGCGAGGAGTCTGCAGCGAGCTCCAGGCCTTCTACTGGTTCTTCAGATCCCCAGCTGTACCCTTCCACACCTGCCTCTGCAGGCAGCCGCTGCCAGCCCACCTTGCGAACTCGTGAGTGTAAGCTCACAGTGTGAGCTGGTGAGAGAAGATGAGGAGGTAGGCGGGAAGGCCGAGGGCAGGGCAGAGGAAAGAGAGGATGGAGGGGAAGATGCCCCAGGAGAGGGTTCACCCTGGTCTGATGGGACTTGAGTTTCTCCCCAGCCTCTTTCTGGTTGCCAAGTGGCGCCCCCCTTCCCTTAGATGGGAAAACACCAGTGCTGTTTGCTTCTGGGTTTCACAAAGAAACCTGCGAATGTGAACACCTGGCCAGCGCCCATTGCTGGCTTCCACCAGGATGGGCAGCGTCTGCTGAGCCTTCTGCAAGGCAGGACTGGGCTGACTGTGGACTGCATGTCTCAGAACTGGGATTCAAAAGAAACAGACGAAAGACAATCACAGAGAATTCAGCGGACCAGCAAGGGCAATCAGCAGGATGAGAAAGAAGGTCTTTTTTTGCTATTTTGAGTCAGGGTCTCACTGTGTTATCCAGGCTGGCCTTGAACTCACCATATAGCTCAGGCTGGCCTCAAATGCATGGTTATCCTCCTGCCTCAGCCTCCTGAGGCCAAGGAATAAGATCTTGCATAAGACTAAAAGTTAAAAGGCACTGAGGTCTGCATTCAGCCTGCAGACTGGCCTCTGTCTAGCTCTTAGCCTCTCCACCTGGGGAGGTGTGAAAGCAAATAGTTCAGGCTTTCTGTGTCTGCTTCACTAACTCAGAGGAAAAGCACAGTGTCACTGGCAGGAGCTGCAAGGATAAACTGAGGTAAAAATGCATTCAGCGTAGGCTGGCACACAGTAGGTGTTACAATGAATAATTCACTGCTAGTGAGCCAAAATAGAAACATTCACCTAAGCATGAAGTTTCCTATGGAGATTCTTACTTTTTTTTTTTTTTTGCAGTACCAGGGATCAAACTCATTACCTCCCACTTGCCAGGTAGGCACTTATGCCACTGAGCTAAATCCCCAGCCCAGACGTTATTTCTAAAAAAACAAAGCAGCTTGGAGGTCGAGAATGATGGGTGTAGCGTGGTAATAAAACCAAAAAACCATAGCTGAGCATCACACTGGTGAAACACCCCTGTCCCCCAATCTGGTTTTTTCTGAGGCCGGGCAGGGAAGACAGGCATTCTGATAGGAGCCCCACACCACACTTCTGCCCAGCAGATGTGCGATGACATTTCCCTGAGACACTTGCTGGACTTCTTTCCTGCAAAGAATGAGTCATTCTTGTGAGATATTGTTGATTGTACGGCTCTGTGCTCCTGCCACCCACGCCGCAACAAAGGGTCACTTTCAAGCCGCTTTAGGTTGCAGGCAGGGACAAAAGAATGCCACGCCATGAAATGCCAGCCTGCATTCTGAGCCCTCCTTAAAAAGCGGCTTAAAATGCACACAGTGGCACCACGGCGTGCGAGGCGTCCAGCCAGACCCCGCTTATGCAAAAGTTAATCATTTTATAGGCATGCATAAATTCTGGATGGACAGACAACCACCTATTGGTAGGAACTTTGTCTCTAAGAGTCATGATTTTTTCCCAGTTTCTTAAATATCTTTCTGAATACCCTTAAGGTTTTCTTTCAGAACAGGATTTTTTATTAGTCCACGTTTGTAGCACACGATTGCATTTATTGTGGGGAGCTGGTATCTGCACGTAATCATCTTAATTCTCTTCCCCTTCCCGCCTCTCCCTCTAACTCTGGGTCCCCTTTCCATTTGCGAAGGCTCTATTTCCATTGTTTCTTTTTTTAAAAACAATTTTAAAGAGAAAAAAAAAACAATAAACCTTCGATTCTCCTTTCCCTGTGCCCTTTCTCCCCTTCCACTCCTGTTCACCATCTGTTTGAAGACCCTCCTGCCTCCTGTATGCCTGTATCTGAGATCTCACAGAAGACAAGCAAAGTGACAGTTGTGTCCGCCCACACTGTGTTTTCAGGTTGCGTCCGTTTACCTGTAAAGCTTCAAGGTCATCTTTTTGAGACGGAGCAGCACCTATTTAAGAGAATCAAAGTCGCGTCACCCCTGGAAACGAAGAGTGAGGAGTTAACTGGAAGCATGTGCTGGGAGCCCCAGCGCTGTCTCCATCCTGTGTGACTGGGGTTACGAGGTCTCAGTGGGCCAAGGACACAAACCCAGAGAGGGCTGGGGACGAGATGGCAAGGCAGGCAGAAGGTGGTGACCCGTGCTGGGCCCTCCCTCCCAGGGAGGCTCCCCAGGGCCTCTGCAAACTGCGACCACCTCCTAGTTACTTCAAACAGATGTGCAAAACAGTACAGCAAGGCTTCCATAGCCAGGGCTGGGTCAACATTTTAACTATCAGAAATTTAATAAGCACGCTGAAATATCTGCCCAGTTCACGGGACGATTAAAACAAGGCTTTTTGCTACATCAACATAAGATGGTCAATAAGCCAGATTTTGCACACTGATTTTAAAATGACCTGATTTCAGAATGGCATGAAGGAACCAAGTCCTCCAGGTCACTGTGTGAACTGGGCCAGTCCTCCCCAGGAAGCAGTCTCAGTGCAGAAGCTACTGCTGCCCTGGTGGTTCCGATGAAGCCTGCCCAGCATGAGCAAGTAGAACATGGGCTGTGGGTACAGCTCAGCAGCGCAGCGCCTGCCTGGCAAGCCAAGGCCCTGAGCTCGATTCCCGGTACCAAAGAACAAAACACCAACCACACAAAAATACCCAAGTAGAACAGGAACAGGAAATGGAAAAACAAAAACAAAAAAACAAATAAAAAACTCCATTACCGTGGTGGGCAGGGGATTGAATTTTGTATTCTGCAATATTCACTGCATACACATCCACATGGTATAGCCATGCACACGGGAACTTTCCACCAGCTTATAATTTAGTTAGCATGAAACCAAGTTCATTCTAAACCATGTATCTTACAGATGAGTTTTTCTTCTGTGTCACAAGAGGTTCAAAGGCAGAGTTGGCACTCACCTCTCACACTGTAAGATTGTTTTTTCCTGGAAGTGGGGATCAAACTCATGGCCCCATGCTTGCCGACACGCATCTGTTGCACTGAACTAAATCCCCCGCCATTCATGCCGTAGGATTTGATGATACAAGACTTTCAGTTATCCTGGGCTTTTAAAAAATAGTTGAAAGTAAAAGGGCAAAAATGTAGAGAGAATCGGTTTCCCTTGGGTCATCACAAAAATCAAAATAAGCAAGTCTCTTATGATTCAAAAGCAAGTGATACCAAATCTTAATTTTGAGAAATATTTAGAATTACTGATGGATAGCAAAGTCTAATTTTAATTTGTACTGCTTCACATTATAAAACATAAATCTTCCCAATGGCATTAAAAGTAGTGTTTTCTCTGAAATTCCAAAAATAAAAGCCTTTCAAGTCTTGAGAAATAAATATTTGGAGCTATTGGTTAACCTGAGTCATTAAAAGCGCACACAACCTAGAAGTTACACAGCAAAGCTTAACCTTACACTGATCTGCTATAGTATATGCCCGATAGTAAGGAAGGTCTTCCAAAGTCCTACTTATAACTGTACCAAGAATACATGAGTTGCTGTCTTGCAAGAAAAAACAAAAGGGCCAAGGAAGTATCTCAGAACAGTGCCTGCCTGGAAAGCATGGAACCCCCAGTTCGATTCCCCGTACCAAAACGCAGAAAGTACACCCACTCACTAAACAAAGGTAATTTAAATTCTGATCATACAGATGACGACCAAATGGCGTGAGCTTCAAGTTCTGATACCTGAAAGTCTTTCTTGTTCTATGCACCTGGATGACGTTAACAGTTCAATTTAAATTTCTTTTTGTTGCTTACCTCAGTTCAAAATATTTATTTTCTTCAAGCTGGAGATTTTTAATCTTGAAAAACCCACACAGGGAATGAAAGCCATCGATTTGTTTTGTACGGCCAAGTGTCACTTTAAAGATCTGAATCAAATGAAAACATTTCAGGTTTATTTTTAAACAGGCTCTAAAAGAGCTTATTCCTTTTAAGCGCCTTGGTGAAGAAATGATTGGAATACTTCCCAGCTTCTTAAAACACGCAAGAGGAATCCACTAGACAAACACTGTCTGCCTTACATAACCTGTTTTATATGCTGGCACCTCTGCCTTTAGAGAAACACGAACTTACCTGGATCTGCTGAATTATGAACACTAATAATTACAAAATGAACTCTCTACCATTGTGGACATCTTATATATAAAGAATAGATATTTTTCTTAGTGTGAGACAGTGTTTCTTTGCTGTTTTGTGAGAAAGGCTCTCACCATGTAATATAGGCAACTTTGCGGTGATGCCCCTGCTTCAGCCTCCTGAGTTTTAGGATGATAGGCGTGTGCTGTCAGGCCTGACTACCCATCTTAGATAAGAAACAAAGGATAGCCCCTTTACAACAGGCTCCCCTGCTGCTGTGAAAGATACACCACCACCACCAATCAGCCTTTAGTCAGGAAGGACCCAGGAACGAACGCAATGCGTACGTCATGTTTCAAAAAACTATACTTATTTTATCTTAAAGAACAATCAGTTATGTTGCATTAAGATGTGGATAAGGAGAAATTTTCAATCAAAAACTTTAATGTAAGAGCAAAAGCGAGCGACATAAATCCAACACTTGCAGACAGCATCTATGCCGAGGGTTACTCTGGAGTAAGTTTAACCTGGTTTAGAGACAAAAGAAAATGAGGTCAACAGTGCAAAATGGTATCAACTGCATACACAGTTTTCACAGAGTGGGAAAGATTCGGCCACTTGAGAAAAGCTAGGAATCAGGCCCCTTCCACCGTTGACTTAATGTCTGTTTCCCTTAAGCTCAGTTATGTTTTCAGAAGCATTAAGTTTCCAACCCTACAACTGATACACAAAAACACAGAAGTGTTGAAAAGGAAACAGCAAGTCAGCCTATTAAGGTATGTTAAAATAAAATACAAAAACATCCCAGAAGAAATGTGTCAAAGGGCTTAGAAAAAACCTAGGGATTATACTAAGTACAGCCTGTGCAATACATAAACAACTCCAGTAAGTTAGAGGTGAAGAGATAATTTTAGACACCAGTTACACTTGGCCCAGGCATACGTTTTCTCTCTATAGTCCAGGACTATTGTAAACCAGCAGAGGCATGGCGGCTGTCCCGCATTTTAAGAGTTGGAGGGCAAGAGCTAGACACATCATCCAAATCTTCGCATGAAATTCAACGTTAAACAGGGCTTTAGCTTTGCAAGGTTATCACATGCATACATATTTAAATACAGGCACAGAAACTTGTCATTTTTATTTGGGTAACAAAGGGTCTCCAAATCATATTGAAAAATAAATCCTAGTTAATATCATTCCTGTAAAAAATATTAGCACACTTTTCACAAATGTAAAAGAGAAGAAAATACACATAATTTTATATCTTAAACTTTTTATTCCCTATCATAGACATCAATTTTGTCTTTCGTTGTCTTGCAGTTTTCTACAATTTCCAACTTATACCTGTATTTATACTGCTAAATCTGCTAAAGACATTTACTGATTGCTTTCCTAAATCTAAGGATTATATAGTTTTAGTATAAATATATATCACATATTTTCGTAAAATTTTGACAAAACCGAATAAGCATGCCTCGTTTGAAGTCCATGCTCCTTCACTGTTTATAAAATCTGATTGAATGATCAAAAATTCTTGTTGTCACTCTGCAGGTACAGTCTTCCTTCTGGACTGCCACTCACGGTGTACAGAACAGGCAACAGAAAAGAACCACAGAAATTATGCTGACCTTAGTTCCTGCTTTTGACACTGAAAAGTAACGAGAACTTGCTTGAACATGAAACACCGGAAATTCAGGACATTCGGATGAACCAAGCTCCCTGGAGTCCCCTCGGAAGGCTGCGGTGCTCTCAGCACACCACCACTGCACAAAATGCCTTGCGGACTCCCTCAAAGCCAGGTGCACACTTCCTGCATGGCCTCAAAATTACCTTTCAGAAACTGTCACCTGGTGCCAAATACTGGTAACTAAAAATAAACTTGGCAATGTTGTTTTTTAGAAAACAATGTATAATCAAAAATTTACTAGTGTGTATTCTTAAACTAACTGGACCCAACTCTGAAAGAGCGAGCCCAGGTTTTGGGCAATGACAGCCTGCTGGCATTCGAAAACAGCCTTCCGACGGGGTCGCTGTGCAGGATAACATTCATTTAGCTGTCTAAATTCTGGCATATCTGTGTAAAGTGACATTCTGAGAGTTAAAACTATTCTTTTAAAAAGGAATACCATTCTTTAAAAAAAATTTATTATTTTAAAGCATCACTGTAATGTAAGTGTATTGTTAGAAAGTAGTTCTCCTTATCAATAAAGACTACTTTAAAAATCCTGAAAACAGGCAAGATTTCCAAGCTTTTTAATTATTAACTGAAGATAAAATAATTTGAAATTTCTAAGATACTAAAAAACAAAACAACCCCAAATATAATAAAAACACATCAAGAACCAAACTACAATTTCTGAGCTGCACTGTTTATTTTGCTGCTTGGAACCTCAGTGACAGTATGCCACTAGATTACGGGGTTTCACCTAAACCTTCACTACACTGCAGGTACAGAAATACACGGGCACAATTCTGGAGAATTGACATTTTGCAAAATGCAGCAAACATTTTCATTCAGACATGAGAAAAGGAAGTGTTCAAAAGGGTATGCATTTCAAGTTATTGCAGGTTGTGAGAGAATTTCTGCAGGTAAAACATGTTTAAATTTAACCAACAGTAGCGTGTCAGTGTATTTAAAATCATGACAAAATCTTCTCTCTGGTCATGTTGCCCACGACAAATTACTATGATGTTGTATGTCTAGGGCAAGATGTCAAATACAGCATAAATCCCATGGTATTTTGGTTTTCTTCTGGAGATTAAAGCTGTTTTTCTTGGGATAAATGCAGCAGCAAAACATAAACCAGTTGATCAAAAAAGCACTTCTGCCATTACTCCATTAATTTTCAGGACACATCAACCGACAGTAGTTTTGCCATTCCCAGTTCTTTTAAGGGTTACAACTCTGCACGTAAGAGGTCTGTACGAGCTTGCTTTCCGTTAAGCCAGCTTGCTGACTACAGCCTGGTTGAGAGAATTTAGTTGGTTGGTCCATTTATCTAGTGCAGTATAACGGGCACCGCCTCTCTTCTGATGATCCAGTTCAAGGAGCTGATTGACTTGATCAATTCGGCCATGGATAGTGCTGGAAATAAATGAAAGAAAATGTGTGCATGAGTAACTTCAGTAAAGATAGGTCTCCAGCTAACATTTCATAGAATGTGTGCATGGTACCGAATTAAGTTCAAAATTAAAAAGCTGTTGCCTACGTTAGAAACAGTGGCTCTGGCTGGCGACCATGCCTGTAACCCTAGCTCTCCAAGGAGGTGGAAACAGAGGTCAGCAAACTGGAACCCAGCGAGACTGTCTCACAGCACAGGGTGGAGGTGTATTGGTGAATGCAGCCAACGAAAGAGCTTTAGTTACAAAACTAAACCAGATTGCGGCGCATGATGGTATACGCCTATAATTCCAGCACCTAGGAGGCTCAGGCAAGAAGACTGCTGTGAGTTCAAGGTCAGCCTGAACTGCACAGTAAGACTGTTCTCAAAAGACAAAAAGCAAAAACAAAAACAAAAACCTAAACCTAAACCAATTTCAGCCACCTCCCTTCAGTATCAGAGTCACCAGGCACAGGTTTACCTAATTAACCAAGGGCATATGTCGTGAGGCTTTAAAGAATGTACTATTTAAGACAGATAAAATTTCAAAATTACTAACCTGAAAAATGTAAAAAGGAACTGTTCACTCACTAATTCTCTTGCTACGCTAAGTCATACAATGAGAAGTCTTTCTGAAAACAGAGCTTTCTCAGAGAGGATATGCTTCATACACTTGTCACCCATCAAAAGCCATCATGTACACATAAATATCTAATTGGAAATTAAGCCATGGAGTACTTCATATAAAAAATCATAATAAACCACCTTTGTCACTTTAGTTCAAAATTTATATTGCATGATTAAAAAATAGCAAAGCACTTACTTATCCAATATGCATTGCACCAGCAAACTTTCCACATCAGCTACGTCTATGTTTAACTCCTAGGACAAAACAGTCATTAGAGTTCTGCTACTTAACATTTCTTAAAGATTTTATGACTTTATATAATCAGGCTGATTACATAATTCATTTTCACTAGTTAAAGGAACTTTAGTAAAGAGATTTTTTTTTTTTTTGGCTTTTTCCTTTTTATCGGTACCGGGGATCAAACTCACGACTGCCTGCTTGCAAGGCAGGCGCTTATGCTGCTGAGCTAAATCCCCAGCCCCTGGTAAAGAGATTTTTAAACAAATATATTACCAATTCTGAATAGCCTCTAAAACTTTGCCCTGACACACATTTAACTTTGCAGTTGGAAGTATCTTTCTACTACGACTGTACGATTGAGGCTGGCCTTTTAGTAATGAAGCATTTCACCCACTACTTCTTTTTCTGTTTTCTTATCAGATTGGAGGAATCTTCAACATTTTAAAGATCTTCAGTTTCTCCACTGCAAGGTTAAAACTCTTTTCTGCTAACTCAAATTTATTCCCCAACCACAACAAAATTCACATTAAAAGTAAAGCCCTTAAGATATGCTTAATGTAATACTATACAGTGTTTCCACATTAGTACTGTTTTCAGAGGGAGACAGGTATACTGCATTTATAAGCACAAAACATAAGCATTAGAAGCTGCTAAGTACCTTAGAAATAAAAGGAATATGTATTCTTGTGTAAGGCTTAATTAACTTGATAAGCACTTGTGTTCTGATGTTTCGTAAAAGCTCTGAAAGAAAAGACAAGTATCAATACTTTTGTATGTAACAGTTTGTACACACTTATGAATCACACACTCCTATACTACACTGACAATCTTGAACCGTGTCTCCTGTCTCACATGGACGCAGATGTTTAATCTGGCGCATGCACAGCCGGACTGGAGGCGCCCTCCATTGTTTCTGTCCGTCTCCCTTACTCTGCTTATGCCGCCAACCCACTAACACACCCCTGCTTTCTCAGTCACAGGCCGCTGTCGGGAGTTAGACCTACCAGGAAGTGCTGGCCTATATCAGCCCAGTTCCTTGTTTTACGCTTTTGGAAGCCTAAAGTATATTTTATACACTGTTTTTTTTATAGTTTCCCCACATTATTTATACACAATTGTAATTTGCATTTTTAAAAACCATACTAGAAGTCACAGATGAAGTTTTTGGTTTTTTTCCTTAACTATAAAGTGCTATGGTATCATTCCAGGTCCACGTGACAACTTAACAAAAAGTCTAGGATGAAAGAGATAGGAAGGTGGGAACAAGAAAATATTAATTCTGATGTGTTATTTGAATTTCCTGGGCACCCCTGGAATCTAAGCACTGAAATGACTGTTTTGAATTGTCTTCAAACACCCTCAAATAGCCCCTGACAGTGAACCCTGGAGCTGGAAAGGCCCCAGAACAGAGTATGATTTTTGTCTCTGGTAATTCAGCAGAACTTAAAATAAACCTTAACAATTAATGCTGAGCTTAAGCATCTAGGACATGGAACACTGGGCGTGGTGGCATCACCTTAGTCCTAGCATGGTGGCTGAGGCAGGAGGACTGCTACAAGTATAAGGCCAGCCTGGGCTACACGGTGAATTCAAGGCCAGTGTGAGCTACACAGCAAGACACTGTCTCAAAAAACAAACAAAAACAAAAGCAGAGACAAAGCCCAACATGGAACAATATCTTAATTAGAAGAAAAACAAAAGAAGATACCATCTCAAACAAAACAGACCTCACCTAAGAACCTGACAGCGAGTGTGGTGGCACAAGTCTGTAATTCCAGCACTCTGTGAGGGCAAGGCAGGATTATGAATTCAAGCCCAACCCAGAAAATTTAGTGACTCAGAGAGATCCTCAAAATAAATTAATAAAAAAGAGGCGGGGATCTAGCTCAGAGCGAAGGCCCTGGATTCAACTCCCCAGAATGGGGACAGGTGGGGTGGGAGGTGTGGCCCATGTGATCACACTGGCATGAAACTGGCTAATGATTTCTTTCAGTTTTCTGATTGAAAGAGCAACCTGTCCTAGGAGCACACCAAGACATAGCCTGACGATCCGAGCAGTGCCACTGGAGGTTCCTGCCTGCCAGGGAAAACGGTCCGAGAGCCTGGTGGGCACCACGACATACCTTCGATGTGCTCTCTTATGAAAGGGTCATCCATGATGTTGCTGTGATTTGTTTTCAGGATCTTTTCAAACTCAGTGATGTCATTATTCTGATAGGCACTAACAGAGAAAACAGGGACACTTTGTCAAACAGGAAGAAATCAGATAACCCAGAGTCTGTTTTTCAATGTTTATATGCAACGTCTAATACATTTCTGTTTGATTATGAAAGCCAGAACAAAACACACATATATCCTTCTGATAAAAAAAAAAAACCAAAAATCTGGGCGGGAATGTAGTTAATGTGATGCTTAACATGCAGGAGCCCCCACACGCGGCCCCTGGCACCCAAACAATGACAACCACAGCAGCCACCACCTTTCTGACTTACTTCAGTATGGAAAGAGTAAATGAATCTTGTTTGGAGTTATATATTTACACAGAGCTAATTAAAATAACCTCACAATCTTAAAAGTTGAGAACGGAACATTTAGTAACTAATGCCTGACATCGTCAATTACAGCATGTATTTAACCCGTTAAGCGTTCTTAACGAAAGACACCAGGATTGTCGCCCAGACTACAAGCAGCAGCCCGGCCTTGTCTTCCAAATAAGAGCACATCCTCTCCGCAGGTTATCCCGAAAGTGCAGCTCCCTAATTTCTATCTTCTAGAAAGCTACCAGCAACTGCCAAAACTTGTCAGGAGAACACCTGGTCCTCAAGTCCCCTCGGCCTTAAATCCCACTGGGCTGTGCCCCAGCGCCACAGCGCTGCACAGTTAGTGGCACCGGAGCACACGGGTGCCGTGGACAGGGACCGGCTGCAGGTGGCAGGTGTCTGCCCAAAGCTGAGGGCTCAAATGTCTACGCCCAAGGAAACTGTCCGCACTAGGGGGCGCTACGGGTGCTGAGAAGGAAGAGCCAACCTTCTGGACAGGGCACCACTGTCTGCTCTCTACGTAAGACACAGCATCAAGCACTCTGCAGGCCCTCTGCTGCGCTGCCATCTCTTGGGTCGCAACGTAACTTCGTGTGAGGGGCAGGTGGCTCAAAGCTCCAACAGGAATTATTTTCCTCTAGTCTGCTGGCAACTGACTAGGGAGATAAAATTAGGAAGCATTACTCTCTTACCTACCTCCAACCCATTACCACAGTATCATACGGGAGGGCATGGGCAGACACTGCACACAGCCCTGTGAGCTCACATTTGCATCCAGATAATTGTAACTGTGGGATTTTCCCCATTAAGTAGAATTTTAAAGTCTTAGACAATACTGCAGGACATCATGTGTCACGTGTCTGGGTACAAATTTAGCATTAAAATAAGCTTCTGAGTTCCAGTATAGAGGCTTCACGGCGGTAAATGATCAGATATAATAAACATATAAAAAACAATTACTACTTTTTAAAGGTCTGATACACCAGTCCTTTATTTTAATATACAGTATTTAACTAATTTAATTTGTATAAAATACTAATGTCTAGGGCAAAACTTTTTCTTAGTTTTCTTTAAGAAGTTTAAAGTTTAGGTTGCTGCTTAGCAATTTAGATATGAACAAAATATTGAAAAAGTATTTTGAAGTTAATAGCCAACCGACTCATCTCTTACAGTACTAGCCAAATGTAGGTGCAAAAAACTACTTGAGATAAAGATGGAAGCATTTTGTTTTATAGGTAAAGCACAATTTAATAAACATATTAAAATATGCTAAAGAAATACACAGGAAAGAACTCACTTCCTAAGGGATTTTACTCTCAGAAGATTTGTACTTCAAAAAACAGAACAAAACAAAAACAAAAAAGAAATCCCAACCTGATTCTTATTTTTTCTATGTCTAAAATTAAGGTTTTAAAAAAATCTTACAGCTTACAAAAAGCAAAGAAAATAATGATACTTTATTTCATCTGGTCCTGGGACTCGAACTCAGGACCTTGCACTTGCTTCTCAGGCAGGCTCTGTGCCACTGAGCTGTATCCTCCGCAACAATAATATTTTAAAATGGAACTTATTATGAAAATAGCTACTTTTTGCAAGTACATATAATTTATAGATGGCTCATAATTTATAGTCCAATGCTATTTTTTAAAACCAGATTTTAAAAAATATCTGCTACCTCAAGTTACCTATGTACATCCACAAAAACACAGCCTATGTCCCTGTTTTCCCAGCCTCTGTCGAAGTGTACCTGGCCTGCAGTTTCTCGCACTTTCTGCAGAGACCCAGCCACAGAAGCCCAGAGCTTGTTGTTTCTAGCCCAAAGGAAAGGCTCTCTTGTTCAGTAATTTTCTAGCTTTTTCAATAAGCTTCTAGCTTTTTTATTCAGTATTTTTGTGGTAGTAGAACATGAATCCAGGGGCTTTGCCTTGAGCTACATTCCCCGTCTTTTTGTCTGTGTACAAACCCTGAGACAGGGCTTCACCAAGTTTCCTGCCTCACCTTCCCAGAGTGCTGGGGTCACGGGTGTATATCACTGTGCCTGGCTGTTTGATCATGTTTTCTAGACTCTTACTTAACGTTAACTAGTCATGGCAAGCTCTTCAGCTGGTAATCATCATTATTCACACCTTTCTCCACAGAAGCATTTAAGTCCTAGGTCTCTTACCAGCATCACCTATCTGTCTCTTAGCCCTCCACTTTCCAAAAGTAAGTACAGAACATTTACTTCTCAAAAAGAAGTCCAGGTGGGCCTTCAATCTGCAGCAATCCTCCTGCCTCAGCCTCCTGAGTGCCAGGATTGTGGGCAGGCACCACCATGCCCGGCCTAATAGGGAACATGTTTTAAAAATGATATTTTCAACTTTTCACTGATCCAATACATGAGTAGAACAATATACTTATGCAGTCTTTTTTCACTGGAAGTTCTTGACATCTCTTGAGCACTTAGTAATTTATTGTGGATTAAATCAGACAGGCAATAAATAATGCAAATGTCTTAAGATATTTACAACTAGTTTTATATTGAAAAATAGCAGGCATAAGTACACAAACACAGAGATAATAAAAAACCAAACAGTGAATACTTTGACAAAATTTGTGACTAATAGAAACAGCACAGCAAATTTCAGAAGATAAAAATTTCATGAGCTTCTGTGTATCTCATATAAAATGAAAGAGCAAGTGCTGACTGTTAACTGAACCCTGAGATATTTTTCTCTACTTAGGGGCCAGTTTAAAGAAATTTATCTTTATTGAAATATAAAATCTTACCTTACTAAATTTGTCATTGCTAGAATTTCTGGATCATTTTTGTACGGCTTAGCCTAAAAAAGAAAAGAAAGAAAATTTAGTTATGTATATGCAAAAAGAAAGACTCCTACTGATTTTTTACAGAAGACAGTTGACAAGAGAAAGTCACAAGTGAAGTGCACACACCTCCTGGGAGTCAAATGGATTTATCCCCGATTTCATTAGCATGTTTGCTAAGACCAAGTACTTTAAACACGTGGTTCGTCTTGGACTTCCTGATTCATCATAATTCTTGAAGGCTTCAAAAAAATCTGTGTGTGCCTTTTCAAATTCACCTTCTCTCAAGTGCATCTTACCACCACATTCTGTACGGAGTGAAACGTGAGGAAAAAAAACATTTTTAGTTCTGTAATAATAAGACTAATAGAAAGCAAATAAAATGTTTTATTAGCCTTTAGTCTTAGTGCTTGACCCACAGCATACATTTTAATGCTTCAAAACAGGCTTTCCACTGAACTCCATTTAGTCATCCTTAGTGTGAACAAGGTTCCCCCCATCACTGCATCTCAGGAACAGCCCTCAGGTGAATGAACCTACTGATAATATCTGTCCTGCTGACACTTCTACAAGACAAGAATCCGTCCTAATCTCCTTCTAGCATGACCACTACATGGACTTCAATGCTTTAATACAAACACGGCCTCTGAGCCCGGAGTCTGATGAAGGCGCCCTCCCCCACCCCACTCACCTCTGATGACGCCCATGATCAGCGGGTGCGGGATGGCAGACTTGATGTGCAGTGACTGTTCGTACAGAGCTTTCAGTTTTTTGTTATTTTTCTGTGCCGTGTACATTTGAATTTCCAAGGCATATATTTCTAATAACTGTGTACCCTTTTTCAGGTCATCTTCTCCATCATCAGTCTAGGAAAGCAAATAACTTTAGTTAGAAAAGCCAGAATTCAGAGACAACCTGGGGATTTTTATTTAAGTTAGTCTGGGAACCTCGTATTTACAATACTGTTTCTGTCTGAAAATGAACTAACATTTTAATCGGAAACCAGCACATTCACACTGTTCTTAATGGTCCAAAAAGACTGCAGGAACCCTTTTCACTTTGTAGTTACTGAATAAGGAAAACATGGCCAGAATATTTCATAGGTATAAAAAATTTCAGTGTTTATGTTGTAAAGTAGAAGGTTTACATATGATCTTCCCCAAACTATCACAGCAGTTTTAGACGCATTAATTTAATTAAAAAGCACAAAATCAAAGGGCCTCTGGGGAAATACAAAACTAAACAAGCTACAGTTCCTCATCTCAAAAATTTCACAATCTAGAAGACTAAGGTTTCAAAAAAAACTACAACACAAATGACAATGGTTCCAACTGAAGCATAAGCCAGTGCTCCCACAGTGAGAACGGGAGAGGAAGGACAAGCCCTCTGGGGGATGTAAAAGGAATCACAGGCATGGTGGCATTTAAGCTCAACATTAAAAGGTGATCAACAGCCCACAAAATGTGGCTATAGAAACAGTGTCAGGTCTGCTGTCAGATACACATAAGTGTCAAACACTAACATGAACTAAGTCCAAGTTCACTGTTTATTGAGTCTTTTAATCTAAAAGTCTGTTTATTCACTAAAGAATTATAACCAGTGTAAAAAATCTAGATTATAATGCATGTCTCACCGTAATTACTATAGAAGACCATTTAAGATCCTAACAGTACTTTTCCTGTGCTCACAAAGATACAAAGCAAAACTTCTCTAGAGGCTTTTCATTCTCTCTGGTTCTCACTCTTTTCTCTCTCTATATATATATTCTGAAAAAAGACGGCAGGCACCCTTTTCACTTCTCTATTAAACTTCTCTACTAAAAAATGGTTGCTCTACCATTTCCATCTCACACAGACTGAACTCATGGCTATTCATCTATCAGACTACAGAAAGAACAGGTAGAGAGCAAATCACTGAAGCAAAAACACTTAAGTTAAAATCTCCACAGGTGACTAAGTCCCCTGGTCTTTTCTCCCTCTGACAGAAATGACATCCACATCACTAGAGCAGCAGTACACAGTGTTAAAAGTTTTGACACAGGATTTCTATGTACACTTCGAAGATGTTGAGGATAAAGTAAGTACAAATGAAGAGCCCGGTAGACCAGTCCTCCTCACCGCAGCCGCACTTCACAGGCTGACGGTTCCAAGAGTGGCAGGCGAGGGTGTTCCCAGTACTCTCGCTCTATTTCCTTAGTGTGCACGACTAGATCTCAAGCCTTGTTCTTGCTAAGGGTCACGCCTGGCCTGGTTATAGGGTAGCTGCACCTCATTCCACAAAGGATGAGAATGGAAATCAGCACTAGGAAGAAATGCAATACTTGGGGAAAAATGAGCATTTAAAAAACTTATTTCTCAAGTTTTATTTTTGGGATAATGCTCAAATGAAAATATGCCCAGACTGTATTTCAAATGCAATTATTTCACATGTTTTTCTTTTTAAATAAAGAAATACTAAGGAAAAGGAAGAGAATGCTACCTGGCAGGACTGATGCAACTGGCGTAAAATTTTTTGAAGCTTTCCATATTCCTCTCGCTCTAAATATAATTTTCCAAGCTGTAAAACAAAAACCAAACTTATTAAAGTCAAAAATGATTTCAACAGGAAAAGGTGTGATGCTTAGGAACTATTTTATTAGGGAAACCCACCCACTCTCTAGGAGGAAAAAACTTCAGCTGTTACCTTTGTGTTTGTCTTAAACCACAGCCTATCATTCTTAGCATCTTTCAGAGCTTCCAGTGTCGTTTCGTAGAATTCCTGCAGCAAATCCATCTGACATAAAAAATCAGAATTCTATAATTGTAAACAGCAAATTTGTACCTGTTAATGAATTTGAACAAACTAAAAGTGCATCTCTGAACTTTAATACACTTAAGATACACTATTTGTACCTTACCAAATGTCTTCTAGTTCAGAAGATTCATTAACACAAACTAAATTTGTAAGTGTAGATCTGTTTGCATGTTAAGTTTTACAAAACCCAGAAAACATTTTCCTTTTAGAAATTCTTATGCTATCATAGGCTACATATGTCTGTCCTTCCAACCCAAGGACTTTCACTGGAAGGAAGCAAACAATGTATGACCCTGCTACAACAGCGTGTGTGCGTCTTACACACGCAACCTTTACTTGGCACCTCTTACACGGCAACCACTGAGCAATCTGCTAGAGAAACAAAGAACAAGCTCCGCATCCACCTCGGGCTCTGCTTTTGAATATTTGGTTCTCTTACTCTCCATTAACAAGACCACAAGGAGAAGGGAGCCCAAGACCAGGAAGATCTGGTTCTTCCAGGAAAAGCTGCCTGTCACTTCCCGACTACTGATGGCATAAGGCAAGTCAGACTGCCAGCCACCTTCTATCTATCCTTTTCAGAAGGCAAAGACTTTACATATAATAGCACATCTGATATAAAAAAAAAATCTGCCTGACATTTTCAATACGAAGAACAGAAATAAACTATCTCAAGAAATAAAGCTAAACATTAGGACTGTGCTGCTTAAAAGACTACCAACAATCTGAGTGAACATTATCTCAGTTAAACAGTGACTAAAAACATGGTCATCACTGCCTTTTTTAATGACCCAAATCTAAGAGAGTGATAGCACTCCCACTGTCAGCGCTGCCACCTTCATCATCAGGCCTTCCTTTCCCGACATCACCAGTCCCCTATGGAGGCCGACCTGACGGGAGTGCACCCTGCCCGGGGCTGCCTCCTCATCCAACCCCCTAAGCCACCTGTGTTCTGGGCTCGGTTCGAATCCCCACAATGTCCAGTGGTGTGTGCTTACCTAGCATGCAAGAGGTGCTAGGTCTGGCACTGCAGAACAATCAAAGAAAACAACATAAAAGGAACTATAAATGGGACCTTAGGGGAATCTAAATATAGTTTTGCAGCACCCTAATGATCACTATAATTGCTTTAACAGAACCTTTTTTCTCCTCTGAAGTACAAAGTCCGTGGAGGGGATGAGATGATCAATGCACATGACACCATGCACCCATCACTGTATATAACTAGCAGGTACTACACAATTTTTCAAGAGGAAAAATTGAGTCTAACCTGTTTAGAAGTGGAGATATAATCAAGAATAGAATTAATAGATTTTTCAGAATAATTTCTTGTGACTGCACTCCGAATATAGGTCAAAAGTTGTTTATATCTATTCATCATTTCTGGAAAGTTTGTCTGTGAGGGAAGAAGAAAGCAAAGATACATATTGTGCAATAAACCACACACACACGCACCCATGACTAAGATACAGTATATACCACTACCAAACTGAAATCGTGTAACTCACATACGATTCATAAAGTACTTTACAAATACTTCAGACACTTCACCTTAAATTTGAAATGACTACATTCTTCAAATATACGAACTATATTTACAAAGCCAGTCCACGAACAAGTGCAACTTCCATATTTCTCAAATTTTGAGTATTATTCACTGCACACAACACATTTTCTTAAATCATAAAAACTACTAAAATAGTCACAGAGCAAAAGATACAAGTAAGACCTAATTTTCCAATGTCCTGGGGTACAGCTATCTGGATCATCAGTGACATCCCCTCCTGGAGATGTACCCTTCACCAGGAAACTCTCCAGGAAGAGCTACGTATTTATGTTCTCCACAGAACCAGCTGGCTCTGTGTAACAATGTCCTCAGGCCTCAGGAGGCGTCTCACGTCAGGTCCTCCCACACGGGATTCTGTTCAATAGCAGTGACCGTAATGCTGTGGTTCCCTGCATCTCTGTTTATACTACTGTGGGGTATTCCAGAAACACCAGCCATCTGAAGAAAGAAACTAGTGGGAGTGAAATGTCCAGCAGTTAAACAGCAGGAAAGACTCCGGCTCCTCATCCTGAGTGCCCACGAGCGTCAGCTTACGAGGTTAACCTCATAACCAACTGCCCACAGTGCCCGCAAGCCCTACCTGCTCTAACCCTCCTTTCATCGCGTTCTAGTCTCTCTGGACCAGGAGACAGAGCTTTTTAGACTAACAGACCACGTGTGTTTAAACAAATGATAGATGTCTACATATTTCAAACTATTTTTTTGTTTCTAAAAATATAGGTTTTCTGTGGGAATAAATGAGTAATGTGAGTGGCAAAACTCAAATTACAGAGCGTTTCTTAAAAGCAGATGAACTAATGACTGTCCCAACTCTGAGAGTGCATCCTAGTACAGAAAAGAATTTTTAGCAAAAAGTCAGAGTTCTGAGTTGATCTCTTTGTGCTATACTTTAGAACTCATTTTTCTTTCTTTCTTGTTTTTTTTTTTTTTTGGTACCGGGGATTGAACTCATGACCACGCACTTGCAAGGCGAGGAGCTTATGCTGCTGAGCTAAATCCCCAGCCCAAAACTCATTTTTCAAAAATAGTGTTATTATAATTACAGATCGAGGGAAAGTTTAAACAAACTGGTTTTATGTGCAATGGTAAATACATAGAACAGTTGCTAATACCCTTCTAATTTTTTTTTTTCTTTTGGAGACAGGTTCAGGCTGATTTTGAGTTCACTATGTAGCCCAGGCTGCCTTGATCTCTCAAGTGCTAGGATTACAGACATGTGCCACCACACCTGGCTCCTTCTAATTTTTTATTGCCTGAAACAACACAGTGCCAAGTCCTATTTTGAAGCCAATTAGAAATTAGAGAAAGGCTGAAAGCTGAAATCACTCCTGAGCAAAAGTAGATGAAGCAACACAAAACACAACCCTTCCCATCTCTGCTTGAGGTAAAAAGGCGAAGCCAAGCACTGTGGTTTAGATCTTAAGTGCTGCCCAGACACTCGTGTGCTGAGTGCCTGGTCTCCACCTGGCGACACTCCTGGGGGCTAGTGTGGCCCATGGTGGATGGGACCTTGGAAGGAAGCTCTGTCAGTGGGACCTGGGGCCCCCAGCCCTGCTGCTCTCTTCCTTGCTGCCTGGCTGCCACCCAGTGTGCAGCTTTGCTCCACATCTTTTGCCAGGATGCTCTGCTGGCCACAGGCTCCAGAGTAAGAGCCAGCTGATAATGGGCAATGCCCCTGAAACTGCGAACCAAAATAAACCTCTTTTCCTTTTTCGTGATTCTGTCGGGTGTTTTGTCACAGCAGTGGGAAGCTGACTAGCACACCAAGTCTTAAGGCTGCATACTGTTGCTGGTGCAGTGGTGGCGCAGGCCTGGAATCCCAGAACTTAGGAGGCTAAGGCAAAAGGAGGATCACCCCAAGCTCCAGGCCAGCTGGGGTTACATAAACGAGTTCAAGGCAGTGTGAACTACACAGTGAGACCCTGCCTCTCAAAAAAAGAAAAAGGTTGTACACTGTTTAAATGGACTAACGAACTAAACTACTGGTGATACATTAAGACAAATTTTTTTGGTTCTAAGGACTGAACTCTGGCCTCAGCACTGAATTACACCTTCAGTCTTTTTTTATTTTTGAGAAGGGGCCTTGTGAAGGACTAAGATGCCCAGGCTGGGCTTGACCCTATGATCCTAATGTCTCAGCCTCCCAGGGCGCTGGGATTGTAGGTGTGAGTCAACATATCTGGCCAGCTAGATTTTTACAGGAACTCTAATGTCATCTCCACTCAAAGAAATTTAAGCACTGAATGTTGAACCTTGAGTGTCATCGACATCATTTAATTAAAAACTCCTATCCCTTAGGACACTTGGTACTTACTCCATAACCTTCCAGGCCATTAATTTAAATACAGTAAATAATAACACAGGTAACCACCATGTACAAAGCTAAAGGATAAGTTTTCTTAATAGAAATTTGGACAGCCCGTGCAAAATTAGAAGAAAAAATAAGTGACAGTATTGTAGTCCTAATTGCAATGCAGACTAAAATAGAAACCTATCAACAGAACGATCTCAGATTAAGTAGGTACAGTGCCATTTTGTTGTAATGAGCTTTTAAACCCACAGGAAGTATTCATTACTACTATAATTCTCCTCAAAACAAATCTTACCAACTTGAAATTAATCTTAATCATTTGTTTCAGTGCTTTAAATCCCCATTCTCCTTTTTCACCTTCTAGTTCCAAAACCTAAAAAGGGAAAAATTTTTAGTTTAATATTAACACATTTATTTTTAATGACAAGTGTCTACATTTTTAATTTAATGTCATATTCATAAAAGATTTCCCCAACAATTCTACCATTTTTCAGGATTGTCTTTAAAAAGACAAGTTTTCAAATGCTTTCTTATGGATCAGTGAGCTTATTTTGAAGTTCTTTAATTAAAAGATTAAGAACCAATAGCCAGTATTTCCCCTGTCTGCCACCCCAAGTCACTCTTGGTAAGAATGATCCAAAAATGTATCCTGAACTAAGAAATCAGTGTAACCTGCTCCAAGAGGAAAAAGACTGTGGTTATAATTTGTACTGACCATCACGTTGGTTCTCCTACCAGTATGCAAGTGTGCTTTTCAGGACATTCGATTGGAAAACACAACAGCCCTTTAGAAATGTATGCTTACGCTGCATAGTGCAGCCTTATGGGATTATCGCTAAGTATTCCAGACGCATTTCTGAGATAAGACCACTTTGGGCTTAATTTGGTTTGAAACATCATTAAAAATGTAAACTTTAAGGCATAAAAAAAGCTGAAAAAAAATACAAACCTTTTGGAAGCTGCTTAAAGCTGCTTTTGGGTCATCTTCTTTTAACGCTTTGGAATTATAGTACTGATTTTCCAAATCCACATTTGGCTCCGAGTTACTGTCTTCAGAGTATTCCTGTGTGTTGGAAAGGAGACATTAAGTGGGAAAAATAAATAAATAAACAAATAAATCTACATATTACATTTAAAAAGTCAACGCTGTTGGGATGGGAAAACTATACATTTACACAAAGACAAAACAACCTTGAAAACATAGGAAAATGCAAACCAGTACTGGGGCTATTGATCTCCAACAGTGGTCAGTCTTTTCTTGGTCACTGCGCCTGACAAAACTCTAATGTAAATGTGTTAAAATTATTCATCATTCCCTCTATATTCCAATTTTTTTTATACCCTAATACTAAATTTCATTGGTCTAATGAGGCCTAACTAGCTAGGATGGTATTCTAATGCCAAAAATAACTGTCTGTTCATAAGATTATTTGTTTTATGTGCATTTCAAATTATAATAGCTATTTATATTAATATATTTTAACTTTCCAACATTTTGAAATAAGTAAACCAAAATGAATTTACATAATTTTAATGAGATTTTTTTCCATCATATAAATTCAGTTGTTAGTGAAAAACAGTAAAGGGAAAATTGAGATAAAATAATCATGAATGTGGAGCAGCATAAATTTTAAATACTTTAAATAGATATTCAATCTAAAAATGGTTACAAAGCATATGGAGATTATGGCATAATTAAAATTATTTTAGGAAGCCACAAAACAGTTATTATTTCCTCGTCAGCTATAAGCCTTTACAATGGAGCAAGTTGATGTAAAATTAAGGATAATGCTTGGTTAACAGGGGAGACATGACACAAAAAGAACAGTATCACAGAGTTATTTCTAAATCTAAGTACGGTTAATTTTTTCACAAGAGATATTTATGGAAAATTCTGTAAAGCCTCATAAAGGCAGAAGAGTGAAGAAAGGCATAGTGAGTATAGAAAGTTCAGAATATGTCAACACAAGATAAATTTTTTTTTTTTTTTTTTTTTTTTTTGTCTTTTTCCTTTTTATCGGTACCGGGGATCGAACTCACGACTGCCTGCTCTCAAGGCATGCGCTTATGCCGCTGAGCTAAATCCCCAGCCCCTAACACAAGATAAATTTTTCAGAATCCAAACGGTGACTGGGATGTGTGCCCTCCAAAAGATAATCAATTCCTTATAGAAGACACGAGTGGTCTGAAGACCTGGCACTGGTAGGTTTAACATGAAAGTCCTGTGGAATGTTCTTTTGGAGAAAGGGTCTCACTGCATAGTTAAGGCTGGCCCTGAACTCACTAAGCAGTTCACGCGGGCCCTTTTGCCTCAGCCTGCCAAGTGCTGGGATTATACCACCACGCCTGGCTTGACTTCCTAATCTGTGTGATCTAGGTTGGAAAATGATAAAACTACAAAACAACGATAAGCGTCTTCATACCCAGTAACGGAATGATGCTATCTATAGTAGTGAGGGATCTAAAACTGGCAAAATGAGAATTGCACACAGGACAGCATCAACAGCAGGCAATGAAAGTGAAAGCAGCTCTGCTGCTGGGTCATGAAGCATCCTTACCCATCTGCCTTTAAAATACACCTCCACTCTTTCCACCTTGGCCTTATTCCCTGCCACTCACCTCGTAGCAAGCCACCTCCATCTCTCCACAGACTGCAGTGGCCTTCACATTTTGCCTTTTAATCTTCAAGTTCCAATCTTTTCATGGTTAAGCTGATCTAATAAGCTTCAAGAAATCTGCCATCTCTTCTCCTCAAAGGTGGCATTCCACTGCTCAAAACTGAGCTCAAAATTAAGTAATGAAATTGAGTTCAAAATAATAAAGACTTGCCTCTCAGTGCACACTAGAACCAGACCTGCCTCTCCCAGTCCCACCAACCGACCACCAGCACAGGCACTGTTCTCAGCACAGAGCTCCCATCTGTAGACGCTCAATAAGACAGGACAAGAAGTTTTGCAGGTCCTGGACATCTGAAGCCACTTGAAGATTTACACTGGATGCTTCAAGGACTTTGCCCACTGAGGTGCAAGACTGCCAGAGAACTTGTCAACAGATTTTTATTAAAATCTTCCTGCCTGGTGCCCCTTGCCTTCTTTCCATTCCTACAGAAAGGACCCACTTCTCTTCGTTCCCTACAGACGGCCTTTCCGCCTTCTGTCTGCCTGTACCCAGGCACAATAAACTGCAGGCTAGCTGCCCCTTTACACAAGTCTGGTAGTCTCTGCTCTTTGTGCTGTTCCTTACACAGCATGTCCAGCCTTGTCTCCTAGCACACTTCTCCATCCTCTCTGCCTCAGCCACCCTGTCTTCTCACTCACCCTGAGACAGGGGTTTCCTCCTCTTTTCACTCTTCACTCGGCTACCTAGGACAGACCATTCCAGACCTCAGCAGAAGGGCCCTCTCCTCAAGAAGACTGAGACCTCTGCACTCTTTTGGGAATCAGTCCTCCAACTGTCTCAGTCACTTGGAATAGAAGCAGACATTTCCATGTCCTTGCATCTAAGATATAGCAAAGACATTTTAAGAGCCTCATTCAATATTGCTCAATGAAACACAGAAATAGCTTGTTGAACTAGAAAATCACCCTTTTTCTTCTGAACACAGCCCTGAACCTGAAAATGAATGAAAAATATTCCCGATTTACATTTATCATAAAGCCTAAGAATTCAGACTCTCATTCAAAGTCCATTTACTTTTGGTTTCTTGACCTAAAATAGATTAGAAAAAACCAACTAGGCGAGGATATGGGAAAAGTAGAAGCTGAGAGGTAAACGCAGCAATAGGATTCAAATGACAAAGTTTCTCAGCAAAAGGGAAATTGAAAATATTTTACATATTGAAGGGATTAACTTCATTTATCCAGAACTTAATGAACCAATTATAAAACTGCTGAAAACAGGGTCCTTTATGTTTCCTGCCCGGTCTCATACCATGCTTCTTTATCTAATCAGTAAAGCCAGCTGTAGTCCTACCTCGGTGCTGCTTGAAACTTGAATTATTACTGGACATCTTTTGATATGAAATTTGTCCTAGCACTCATCGTTTGTTTGGGTCTCGACAAACAAGTTACAACTTGGTGTTGGTTACCTCATGGCTCACTGCCCTTTCTGGCAAAAAAACAATGTTTGGTACTTGTGGAATGTGGTATTCATTGCGTCTGCTAGAACCAATTAATGATGAATAGCAAGGCACTCCGTGCAGTTTTATAAGGCTGGCTACCTCCAACTTCTGGGATCTGACAGATCTCACATTAATGAGATTTTTGAATTCTAGATAGATGACTCCCACAAAACACAACAACTGGCTTAACAATCTACTGCTCAATGTATAATCTTTTGGTGTGTCACATTACTTATGTATAAAATGTATTTTCTGCATAAGTGAAACGCAGCTATTAGACATTATCACTAAAGTACACAAAGTAAAGAGAAGTGCCATGACTGATGTGCGACCAGTGAGGTATGAACAGCCTGCCGGTTATGATCTGTAACACCATGCTCATCGGTCCCAACCAGCCACCATGATACCGCTAACCCATTTTCTGCAGTTCAGTGAGTAAAACGATCACCACAACCTGGGTATGACACCAAACTGTTCTTTAGTTACTACATCCGCATTATTTAAAGAACTAACAATGTTTTAAGGAAAAGTCTTCAGAGGAACAATTGTACTGTTTAAATATTTTTATTATTTGTGTATCACTTTATAATGGGGACACACTCTGAGAAATGTGTCATTAGACAGTTTCTTCATTGTGTGAACATCATGAAGGGTACACACAGAATCGAAGACAGATACTGCATCACTAGGGAAAATAATTTTATGGACCTCCTGCATATATGCAGCCTATGATTGACCTAAACATCATTATCGAGCACAGAACTATTTATGCCAGCAACTGAGTACTGTGCACACAAATGCAAATGCACAGTCTATGTAGGGACTGTACACAACACAGAATATAGAATATACAATACAGAAAGGCAGATACGCTAAGCGGGAGCTGCCAGTGATGAAGGACAGCTGAAATGAAGCAATTATCATGTACCAAGGCAAGGAAGTGTGACACAGTATTACACATATGGGAGATTCATGAGTAGTGTGGGAGGAAGCTCAGGACATGTGCACAGGGTTGGTGTGAGATGAACTGGCACTGGACTGAGAGCAGGACAACAGAAATCTTGCCAGTTCTGATCCAAGGGAAAGCTACAAAGAAAAGATTTTACAAGGAAATAATCGGTTTTGTGTTTTAAGAAGAGCTCTCTGGCAACAAGAGGTCAGATCAGCTAGCCATGGTGGCATATGCTTGTAAACCCAGCACTTAGGAGGCTGAGGCAGGAGATCAAGAATTCAAGGCCACTCTAGGGTATAGAACCAGAGTCAGCCTGAGTCACACAGACAAACCCTACCTTCAAAAAACAAAACAAAACAACAAAAAGAAAGATAGAGGTGTCATTCTAAGTATGAGAATGAGGGGGAAGGAAAACGATTGGAATTAAATAAAAACAAGATACTAATGATGTCAAAATAAAGTACACCTACCATATGAGCACAAGATTAAGGAAAATAAAGTTACCTATAGTAAATACCAGTGGAATAGTAACCTGAAGTGCCATTATACTTATACACTTATGTTACATGGATAATAACAATTTGTGAAAGTTTAAGTGAAATGTTTAGGAAAGAAGTTGAAAATTTAATCAATGGAAAATTTAATCAATCAAAACCCAAAGAATCCAAGCAATCTATGTAAAACAAGCAAGCACTTCAACACTGTAAAAGGCACTAAAGTGCTTCATAACGTCAAGCTAGTTACATAACTCGGGTCCTGGAGTCTCCCCAAAACCATGTGTGACCCCTTTACACTATCCAAATCTCTCCTTTCCTCGGATACACCGTGTGATTTTCAATCTCTACTTTACCACAAACGATCTTTTTTGCTAGGAACTCTAAACCACATTCCCCCTCAGCATCTCCCTTCTCTCCTGGGAGGTGCATGCATTGAAGGCTTGCCACCTCTCCTGAGCGGTGTTTCTAGCCAGCCTGTCTCTGGGGCACACGCT